GTTTGCATACAGGAAATTTTGGAGACTTTTTGTTAGAATTATTCACATCTTTACATAATAGTGTTCTATAATAGTGTTCTTTTCTACGTAAACATCAGAAGACCTATAATGTACTTTGCCCAGATCTTGTACTTACATTGGGTCCTGTAGCTGCCATCTTCTTGCTTGTACCCAATAACTGTTGTCTCTGAGCATTGGCCATTTAAACTAAAAATAAGAGACATGATGGTTTATTCTTTATAACCTCAAAATTCATATTAAAGATCTCCAAATGTTACAATGAAATGGAGAGTAATAAAGTCAATGAACTGTTCATAGAACTAGGGCCTAATTCCTAGCCCTACCTTACTTTTTGTAATTTTTCTTTGAATATATCATCATGTTCATAATCACAAACATGACTTTCTTCATTTGTGTTAATTTTTCAAAGTGCCATGAATACTCTAATTCCTTCCTTATTCAAATGCCACTATTAACTGATTATGATTTGCAACATGATAATTCTCACTTTAGTCTAGTGATAATATACACACAGTTTTATATGCATGTGTTTTGTATGCTTTTGTTTGTAAACTTCAGTTTTTGATTGTTGCTGTAAGATCAAAATGCTCTAATCACTTTTCTTCATAATGGTGTTATGCCCTATTTCCTTAAACATTTTCATCACATTGTCAAAGGGAATCTGAGAAAGGAGTTAGCAAACTGCATTTATCTGACCTGTTAGTGGAATCTTTGTGATCACACCACAGATTGAATAATACATGTATGGTTTTGACTCAAATGCTCATATATTCCTTCCGGCTTACTAGAAATGATATACATAATGTCTCCCGCACCTAATATCAGAGCATAAAATTCAAATATGGGTTTCCAACTACAAAGATTTTTAAGAAACACCCATGGAATTGGAGACAGTGACTAACCTATGTGTGGTGTCTAAAAGTAACCATATCATGAAATAATATAATCACATTCCTAAAGATGAGGCCTTAAATATTTTGATCAGAAACAGAACATTTTCCTATAAATTTCCAATCATAAATACTGAGAAATGCAAATATTCTGCTCAGGTTACATGGTTGAAAATTTGCTTACTTTGCATAAAATGTGATTTCCAAATTATCACATTCCTCATTACAAGTAATTTGACGAGCATAAAGTCTCATAGTTCCCTGGTTCTCTATCTTCTCAACATTGTCAGCAGCTATGGCAATGCTAACCCAGTCTCCTTCAAGCTGTAAAACAACAAAGACAAAGAGAAGATAAGCGCAGGCATTGGGATGGGAAGTGGTGTTTGCTTCTCTGATCCCAGTCATTGGAAATAAGTAAAATTACTGGAAATATCAATCAATAATATTTTCATTAGTACATGATTATAGTTTTAGGTAAGTAGAATAACACAGGGTACTATGATGACTCAATTAACAAAGCATTTTAGACCTGGGACCTTGGGGAATTGCTCATGGTTTGGCCTCATTTGCTATTGAGGAACCTCAGACATTCTAGACCAAATTTATTTACCTCATTAAGAGCATGAGCCAGACAAACTGCCAAAGCCAGAAGCAGTATCTTTGCAATGGTGGTGCCAGCCTTGATCTTCTGCAGAAGGTAAAATTGGGTTATTAGTTTTGAAGGAACTGAATTGACACAGTGTTTTATAAAGCTAATTATAGGGAGTGTCGTGGAATCAACCAATTGTTTTGCATTACATGAACTTATGTCTTTCCATTATGGCCTGCATGGACCGAGTATCATAAGATTGTTTTCAAATTTAATTTTTGTCAGCAAGAACATAATATATGACATTTTAATTCATCAGACAATGAGTTTTAGGGAAGCAAAGATAATTGAAATTGTAGTCGCTTCTTTTTCCTATGACCTACACATTCATACCAGTATGTAAAGGTCACACAATGTAATATATGATTCACTAACAAATGTGACATGCATGTTTAAACCAGTTTCAAGCCTCAACATAATATAAGTGCAGTTAAAGGAATTTAAAACTGTGCAATGAATAATCAGACTCTTGGAAGTTAAGACGTTAAAACTTAAGATTTCCTATAATGATGTGGATATGTCTTAACATATTTTTAAACCTTTACATTTATTGACTACATTATTCTTCCAGTACCTTGAATTTACTATCAGTGTCACAGACATGTAAGAGATGTCATTAAAAATAACTGTATAAGTAATAGAAAATGGTATTAGATGTCCACTGGTAATACATAGAGATACCATTGACTAAAATATCAAATGAAACACTGTATAAAATACTGATGGTCAGAAATACTGCGCACTTGTACAAATGAGATCTATATTCAAACTGTAAGTAATCCTTTACTTTTCATAGAACAAGTACTATCCTTGCCTTGACGACTTCTTAACAAGTAAAACCCAGGTATATGTTGTTCGTAGACATAGGAACTTGTCATAGAGTTTTGGGAAGAAAGAAGGCTAATATCAGGGCTCTGCAGTACTTGTTTATTCTATGGTTCTTTCTTCTTTAACATGTAGAATAACCTACACTTAGCACTTTTGTATTTTTTTTTGGTTTGCAGATCCTCAGTTTTATTGTCCTCACCTGACTCCTTGCCAGGATTACTTGGGGCCCAGCTCTTAGAAGCAGTCATGCACTTGCCTTCACTGATCCTGGAACCAGCACATTGGCAAGTGTGATGGCTACTGAGCAGGGGAAGCCTGTGCTGGAATGAGGAGCCAGTGTAGGCCCTGGCTCTCTATTGTCATCATCCACTTAAATTTCCTAGGCCTGTATCCTTTGCACACAACCCAGGCACACTACCAGGAAGGGGGTTCTCCTATTTGGGGTGCTCTGCAGTGGGAGCTGTCCTGAACCCTGCCTTTCATGGAGATGACAGTGCTTCATGTCCATCAAAACTTGCAAGGACCCTGACTGTAACTGCCCAAGTTTAGCACTGTAGTCTCACAGCTCAAATGCCTATATTCCTGGAACAGCCTCCAAGTCCCCAGGCTGCTGGGAAGAGGGTTGTCTCTGA